TGTGTGTGTGTGTGTGTGTGTGTGTGTGTGTGTTAAGGAGTGATGATGGTTTAGACGACAGATCGGAAATATCAATCTCTCATTTCTGGGAAGTGGCATCGCTCCTTCCCCGAAATATGTTTTTGCTTAATACCTCCGCTTGGGAAACGAAGACTCAGGTACCTACTTGTTAGAGTTGACAAAATCTGGAATAAAACAACAAAAAACCATATTTTATCACATCTGAATAAAATAAAGGCATCCATAACAACGCTTGATCGTCATTTTTTCCTATTTTCTCTCTTTTCCATATTTGGCGTTGGTAGAGATTTTTTTGAGTTAGAGTTTTTCAAAGGAACGAAATACAATTGCGAGAAAAAAGCTTCTGAAAATCGTCAATTTTGCTTCATAATTTTCTATGACTTTCTTTCAACTTGCATATGAAATCTAATCCAACCAACCTTTATTGTGCAGATTATTCCATGGGGGTAACATGATAAATATTTATGGGTGATGGAAGAACACAAACATAAAACTGCTTCTCTGTAACCACAAGCACAGTTCACTTCATATATTTGTGGTTGACTCTACAAATATGCAAGCTTAGGGAAAATATGCCATTTTCAAATATAGTGTATATATGCTCCCAGACTTTTAATATGGCATTAGATATACATTTTTGTTCTCATATTTGTATTTGCAAGATGTCACTAATTGGCAACATTATCGGTTCCCTGACCAGGGCCTGGTGCATATAATATCATGCAGTTGAATAAAAACAGTAATGAGTTTGAAATCATTTTATCATTCATAGGAAGTTTAATTTGATATAGATGGAAACAAAAAATCAATTATTGCCGTTAAAGAAAAATATATTTTGTTTCAAATTAGCGTTTAGAACTACACAATTTTCATTCAAAAATGCAATTTCCTTGCAGTAAACGTATAACCATACTTCACGAAAATGATTATTTGGCCTTATTGTGCGCATTGCAGTATTTGGACATGCCTCACGAAGTAAAACAGTATCATTATCACGGCACAAAACACAGTGAGGACACATTACACTCTACAGATTAGGCGTCTGGTTACACATATGTACGGGAAAATGAGTCTACATAAGTACATGTATACAAGAAATTCTTATGTAGGTATTTTGATACTATATGGTATATGAAAGTGGGAGTAAAGTCAACTATAGCGTAGTTTAGTAGCCACTCGGTTACGCAAAAGGTTAGGGATGGCATTTTCTGTAACCAAATGGATACACAAAGATTTACTTCGTTGTCCTCCTATCTACCCCGAGCTGCGCTGGTAGATACCCATTCAACGCACGCACAAAACTCCCTCAGAAGCTTCCTGTGAAATACGAATGTGTATGGGAAAAGAGAGCTGATGAACAGTAAGTGGCAGAAGTCACAAAAACCCCTAGTGTTCCAAAGGCGAAAGAATTCACCAACAGGGGGTAGTATAGGCCTATAAACAGGGTCATGTGGCTTGGTTCCCCTGCAGTCGTCCGTTTTCTTTCATGGTCAATTGGTTTAGAGAATTTTGCCTTGAAATTCGATGATGCCATATGGAAAAAAATCAATTAAAGGGTCAAAAAGGCCTACAAGATTCAATAGATTGCTTGTCGATTAATTAGAGCTAGATTTCGCGCCCCAAAATTATTCTAAAATGTTTTTAATCAAATGATTATTTACCGTGAAATGTGGGCGATCTTTTATTATAGCATAATAATCTTTGCGTATTTTGAGTTTCTTTTCATTGTTTTAATCAGAATTAAGTAGGAAATAATAGACTATGCGGCAGCTCAGATTACGCTATAGAATTAGGTTTAAACATAATAATTAAGTTGCTAATCGGTAATTACTTTTTAGTTTCCGCGCTCAGAAAAGGAGAATTCTTAAGATAATTGAGAATGATAAAATAGTAATTTGACAATTGCCATTTTCCTTCCAACGGTATAAGCAGATAACATTGGCGGGATGTGCTTGAGCAAAGTAATTATTTTTTAATTAAATTTATCTCTTGGTATGTCTGAAAAAGGGCTAATAAATCCATCCTTGCAGCTAATAAAATTTAGTTTATTGCCTAATTATATCACAATTACTTCGCTGGTAATGAAAAGGTCATTATTCTTTAAATATATGTGTGGGGGATGGGGGGATGGGGGGATGGGGGGGGGGTATCCGATCGTATAAAACATATGCGAGAACAAAAGCTTTTATCAACACAGTACAAGAAGCTGAAATGTTTTTAAAAGACAAAATCGTTTTTTCTTTCTTTCTTTCTCTTTCTAGGGGGAGGCTCTATTTAAAGGATCCAAATAAAGGTAACCCATTTCTCGACTATAAGATTCGGCCCGGTATGAAGTGAAAATAAGTTTTACTTTTTCTTCTTTATTTTTGAAATGGTTTTCGAAAAAAAAAGTCCATCAAGGCCACCGGGATCATAATTAAATAAAAAGTAGAACAGCCACCAAAAGGGAAAAAATAGAAAGAAAGGAAGAAGAGGAAGA